AAATAACCATAAAATATATAATGTATACAATTCTATTTTAATTAGATTATTATTCATTCATTCATTTATTATTATTTGTTATTATTCAAATTCTATTATAATTAGTTCTTTCGCATAGTGCACCGCACCGTTAATATAATAAGACCAAAATGGCTCTTATTGTGCTTGGAAGCTTTTGTGTGCTTCTAAAAATAGTGCTCCTGCTTGCAAAGACCACTTTTCCTGTTCTCTCCCCCTCCCTCCCTGTCAGCTTTGAACTCCAGTCCGGTGTCGTGAGTGTCCGGACCGCAGCTTATCGCTCTCCCTCGTGCGTACTCGTAGAGTAAGAAACCACATAGGGGATCCTTTGTTTAGGAGGGTCTAGGCATGGCTGATACATTTACAAGCCGCTAGAGTCCCTTCGCGATTGGCTGACGGGGTGCTGTCTGCGTCTGCAAGAGGCATGCGTCAGCTGTGTGCGGCAGCGGCGATCCAAAGCCTTTCTCCTCTGCACTGATCATGCAAACCTGTGCTGCTCGTGCTGCATCTGCCACTACAGCCACTTATTCTTCTGAAGCCGAGGGAGGCAAGATGGCTACCTTTTAGGATTATGCTGCCCAAAATTGAGGGTCTGCCTCTGAGGAATGAGAAGGTACAATCCCAGACTGGCTTTTAATGGCTATCGTCTCAAACAGATGCTCCTGGGAGAGTGTGTGTGCGATGGTAGCTTTGTGTGTGTTTATGCTCTTGTTGTCATTGCTGCATCATCGCAGTAATGTGCCTCGGCTCATGTTTTGGTTCCCTTTTCAAGGTAGGGTGCAAGGATATTTCCAAACCGCAGAAAAAAGCAAGGTTTTAAGGTAACGGACTCCCACGTTTTTCTCAAGTTCAGAACACTTTGTGCTCTACGCTTCTTTTGATGCAGCATCTCAAATCAGTGTCTAAGAGTTTAGCTTGGCTGAAGGGGCAGCTGCGAGTGTGTGTTCACCTGCGCCGCGAGTTTTTTTTTTCCTCAGTACAGAAGTTCAGAAACAGAAAAGCAGCAGCGTATGAATGAAAAAAACCTCAAAACTTCAGAGAAACTACACACGCGCTCCAGGAAGGAAGCGTGCATTTTTAGACTTCGCATAACAGCGAGGGTTTGTGAAGGTGTGCAGGCAAAGCAGTTTGAGCAAAACTACTGGCTTTGATGTGTTCAGAAGGGGTTTCGTTACCGAGTAACTTGACATAAAGATGCACGTTTTGGGATGATGGTTAACTTCTCAGAGTACCTGCTAAATTCTAAAGCCGTGATAAAAGATGCTATTTTGTGGCTACCCTCCGTGTTATTCTCTCGTAGCTGTGTTTTTGAATGAGCGTATGGTGTGGAAGCTCTTGGGTGTCAGGTCTCTCCTCCTCACCCTCTGTTTGGGTTGGATACTCCCCTTCTGCTCTGACTTTCCCTGGTAACGCTTCCTGAGGGAGGCTTCTAGGGATTCTGGCAGTACGTGCACTGTTGCTAGGGGTGTGTGTGTTTCTGGGGGAGTTTTTACTACAATGAAAAGAAGACAAAGTCAAGTGTGACTTTTTTGAGTTTTCAAGGCTTCATATACAACAAATCAAGAACAAAGCCGTGGAGGCACTGCTGTGAGTGACTAACGTTTGACGTGCAGAGAATGAGCAAACCGTCTCTCTTAACGTCTAGTGATGTTTTCAATAAAAAGCACATTTTCTGCTGTGTGTGTTAGGACGTTGTTGTTTTTGAGCCATAGGAATTCAAGAGAAGTGTGCAGCCGTCTGAGGAGATTTGTTTACTTTCTTTATACACTTTCTTCGTTTATTTATGAACAGAAAAGTTTTGGACACTGTTACCATGATACTGTAATTTGAGCAGTTGGTTGTTGTAGGTCTGCTTATAATCAGGCTCTGCTGAATTCTTCCGATTTTAACATGATTTATAGTGCACACTTATTGGTAATAAATGTAATTATATTTAATAAACTACTTAAACTAAATAAACTAAACATTTACACTGTAAAAAATGTTTGGTCAGGTAACCTTAAAAATTTTCTTTTTTCATAACATTTAAATAGACTGGTTTTATTCAAGTCAGAAATCTAATTAAAATGGCTCATTACTAAACATACAGTTCTAATTCTAAATCCTGATTGGATTAGGCTTGTTTAAAGATATTGTAAATTGCAACTGGGACCACATAATCTGAATTTATGTGCCAAGTTTCTGTGTTTTGTATGGCAACCATAAGTAGTCAGGTTCATGAACAGTTTTACTTTGGCAGAAGAATTGTTTATTCTGTTTCTTAATTTATATCATTCTAAATAAATGAATGGTTAGGATACATTTTTAATAAGTTTATTGTGATGGCAGATCTGAATGCGAACTTGCATTGAGGGAGGGGTTTAAGCAAACAAAATGATTGGAGATGTCTTGCATATATCACCAGAAAGAAGTCTGTTGGTTCACCGGAAGATCGGTTTATGACATTCTGATTTAAAGGTCAAAAGGAACAGAAAAGAAAATTAAACATATGCATGAATTGTTTACTATAATATCAATAACATACATTTAGTAAACAAATAGGATTTCATTTAATGTCGTCTTTGAATATGAATAAAAATACATTAAAAAGTCATTTTAACTGTTTTATCATATTGCTATTCCTGCCATTATTAATATACAATATAAGCAACAACCAACCCAAAGTGAATTGTAATGGTTTTACAGGATTTTAACATCTGTACCCATGATAAAAGCCTCTCAAGTGGCATATTGCTTTAATAAAGCAATTTTATATTTCGCCAAGTTTATTACACGTGCAGATAGCTCTCCATGGCACATTTTCACTTTTTATATTACATTGTCCAGTAAACAAGGCAAAAAGCTGTCACAGTATTGCATTTGACCAGTAATTAGCCGGTCTACTGATTTTCATGTTTAATTAGATGGAATAATTGCTCCAACTCTTTAGATACTCAGCTAAAGTGTCCATGTATGAAATATGTAACTGTGTGTTGTACGCACTTTACTCTCTTTATCACCCATCTACAAAAGGTTGTTTTAACTGCAAGCTTTTCCTAGAAAATGACAGTGTAAACTCAAGAGCTCAGCTCTATCAGTGCTGTTTTTCCTGAAAAACAACAGCTTTGGATTTACTTTGCAAGTTTACCCAGAATTTGCACAAACAAACTACCTCTAACTTACAACCTTCATGTCTACAGAGTCTCATTTTCATTGTTTTCATAGTGTTCATCACATTTCTACTGAATTAAGCCTCATGCTCAGCAGGCATGATTTGCCAATAACACCAAAAGTTTGGACTTCTGAACATTTACAAAGGCCTCTCATTAGATCCCTATCCAGACTACTTTGTTATTAAAAAGTAGTTTCACTCAGCATCTGATGCTGACCGTTTTTGTTTCACTACTGGATGGGAACATCAGAAGAGCCGATTACTATTCTCTTCCTATTCCCCCCAGTAATAACAGTTGCAGCGCCTGCCAGGTTATTGCCTCACTTTTGTTTCGACCCCTCTGTTGCATCAGCCCTCTCCTGGCATAAGTGTTAATGATACATGAAGGAGTTTCCCTCAAAACTACATTGTTGGTGCTGCTGAATTTATTAACACACTGCACTAAGAGGCACATTTAACTTGCTTATAAATATAAAAAACAAGAAACCACAGTTTCTCACACAGTGACTGACTGACTCCCGCAAGTATTTAATCTTCTTATGCACACTGCTTTACATGGGTAGTAAAACTGTGTTTTATGAGAGGGACCTAGGTTACAGTAAGGCAGGCACGCTGTGAAGGCTCTCACATGCATTTTTTTTTTCAATTATGAGACTATAATGAGCTCAAAACTACATTGTTGGTGCTGCTGAATTTATTAACACACTGCACTAAGAGGCACATTTAACTTGCTTATAAATATAAAAAACAAGAAACCACAGTTTCTCACACAGTGACTGACTGACTCCCGCAAGTATTTAATCTTCTTATGCACACTGCTTTACATGGGTAGTAAAACTGTGTTTTATGAGAGGGACCTAGGTTACAGTAAGGCAGGCACGCTGTGAAGGCTCACATGCATTTTTTTTTCAATTATGAGACTATAATGAGTGTTACTAATAATGTTCACATTGTGGTATTTTGTGGCTGTCAATTTAACACAATGCAGTATGATTAATTGTATCTTAATAATCACTTGCAGATTGATTTTTATTGTTTTAAATACATGCACATGTATGTGTAACTGCATGTACAGCATTCATGTAGCTGAAACAGTAACACAAAGTGCTGGCAACACAAAGGTCATGGCTCCAATTCCTAAAAAGTGTCAGAATGTATATTTTTAGGACGAAAAATAAACTTAATTTCCTTGCACATTAAAGCTGCACTGTAAATTTGGTCTCTTTAGTGATAAAAAATAAAACTACATACATATTGCGTTTGCATTTTTAAATCATCCATGTACAACAAACCTTTCAGCTTCACTCTACTTTTCTCTTTGTATAGATTTGACGTGACAGGTTTAAATTTTTATAGGCTTATCAAAGTATATTTGGGTAAAGGCATGATTTGGAAGATGGACTTTTGCACTCTCTCGTTAATGACATTTTGTTATATTAACTTAAACAAATAACACAATTAATCAAGCTTGCTGACCTGTACCTGCATTCCTCAGCAAATGCTGTTATTACTGTGAATTAATTAATTGACATATTATGAATATTAAAGAAATGCATATTAGAAATGATGGGACAGTGTTGATCAGTTGTTCATTTGCTAAGCTATAGACTAGTGAGTAACTCACATAACACAGAAAAAGTGTTTTTGTGTATTGCTTAATCCCCCGAAAAGAAAAGAAAAAGTGTTTTTATGTAGCCTATTGCTTAATCATCCCAAGTTCTGTGCCATGATCCACTGTGGCACCAGCTGTCATAAGTTGCGATGACCGATTGCAGTATGTCCTGCTTCACACCACAACTTGCTGAAGCATCTCTATATTTTTCCACTGCAGGTTGAGTCAGAGGCAAACTCAGTAAATGGCACAAGCTCAGAGCAGATGGAGGAGACCTGTGTGACACCAGAGGAAGAGGCGCATTACATATCCTTAACACACAATGTTCCACCTGATGTTCCCACGCCTCTCCAGCATGGCTTGTTACCAGCCCCTCCTGGAAAGGAGCCCGGGACCACTGATGTACTTCTCCCTCACAACAGTTCTCTAACTTCTCATAATGGTGCTGAACACATGAAACCAAACACTGAGAGACATGTGGATCCCACGGAGCCACATGCCTCGTTCCATAGATCCACGTTTAAGAAGAGTCATGAATCCGAGTCCGTTCAAGAACAGACTTTTCCTCTGAAGAAGATCAAACTGGAGGAGCAATGGGTTGAGATTGATGACCCGCACTCAAAGCACTTAGAGACTAACGGGTGCTACGAAGATGCTTTATCTACCCTAGCAGCTGTGGTCTGCTTCTCCAGTACGGACAGAAAAAGTCTCGAGAAGAGGCTTTACGGGCCTCATTCCTGTTTAAAAACTGAGCCGAAAGAAGAACCATATCAGTGTCAGTTAAGTCAAGGAGAAGAACCTCCTCAGAATGATAACGTTGCACTATCTTTACCCAGTGTCCAGTCTCTGGTCCAGTATAGGAATATTAGCGTTGATCAGGCTATAGCTATTGAGGCCTTGACCCAACTGGCAGCTACCCCACAAACAGTGTCCTTTGAAACAGAAAACCAGAGTCAGGACGCTCAGCGAGAAACGTCTACATACTCTGCTTCAAGCAACCACATACCTCTTCGAGAGGCTAAACCAGTTTCAGATGTTTTCTCTAACAAGGTCTCTGTAATCAGTTCATCATTGCAACAGCCTTCTGTCATCTGCAACCCTCTGAACAGGCCAGCCAACTTCACCCAAAATCAAAATCAGCATTGTGCGTCTACCTCCAGAAAACTTTCCCTGAAGGATCTTCTGGTGGCCAGCTCAGAATGTGAAAAGCTATCGTATACCGCGGAGAACCGCAGAAACGGCCAAGCACTTTGTAAAGCCGAAGGCACTTTCAAGAAGTACAAGCATGGAGAAGCCACTCAGATCTCGAGAAAGAGGGATGAGGAGGAAGTTGCGGCTCAATTGGTGCAGCTTGCCTTCATGATCGAATCCCGGCAGATGCAACTCTCGGAAAACAGTCCGCCAAAAGGTATGCCAACTCAGACCATGAAATACAATCATAATTATTTAGGGCAGCACTTAAAAAAGCAAAGGAAACCTAAAATGACGCCATCAAAACCCAGGATGTCTAAGAAGAAAGCTGCTGAGATCGAGGGCAACCATTGCAGGATTCCGTTGGCCAAGAGGACGCCCAACAGGAAAACCCCACTCAAGGCCACCATTCAGAAAGCCATTTTGCAACAAAAGATGAGGTTCCAGCACAAGAGGAGTCCGTTTCTTCCCCAAGCGCAGATAGACCTGAAAAAGTATATAGCGGAGGCTCATCACGAGAACAGGCAGCTCTTATGCTACAGCAACTCTCTGAAGAAAGAGCACTTTGAAACCATCTTAGGTTCTGGTAAGCAGAACGGCTTTCACTTTAAATACGAGCATGGAGCTCAAAGTCATTGTTTACCACCACCAAACGGACTCTTTCACAATCATATGAATGACCATCTAGGTGCTAGCCAGTGGCCGAGGCATGAATGTGAACAACAAATGATTTCTCAGGTATCGAAAACCTACGATGTGCTAAATCATGGTGCTAAACAACAACCTCAGCAGGCCATGGCCAGTGAACCCTGTAAAGACTCGCCGCAAAGCCCAGGGATGTACCATAAAGCCAATGGCTTTAATGAATATCAACACTTGCACATGAATCAAAATGGATTTTACAAAGTGGAGAAGTCTGGAGGTGTTACTGTGTTGTCCACATCCAGTGTACATTTGGAAAACGGGGACGTGGTGAACACTGGAGAACAGACTCCTACCAAGCACACGATCAACAGCTTTTTGGAGTCTCCGATGAGGTTCTTGGACACACCGACCAAGAATCTCCTCAACACCCCCTCTAAACAAACCACAGAGCTGCCCTCCTGTGACTGTGTGGGTAAGTCATATTAGCCATATCATAACTTGAAATAAAAGTTGGCTCGATCTTCTTTCAGTTCATCTACGAACACAATTTCCCTCTACAGAACACGTAATTGAGAAAGAGGAGGGTCCGTACTACACTCACCTTGGATCTGGCCCGAATGTAGCAGCCGTGAGAGAGATGATGGAGAACAGGTAAAGTGGATCTCAGCTGCTATGCTTACATGCAATAATGTTTTCTCTCACTCCAACACAAAAGTATACACATTTTTATTCATTTTAATGGATCATTTGAAATTGACATGTATGCATTTAATTTCCTCATTTTATATGTATGGTTTTTACAATTATTGTTTCATATTTATTTTTAAATTATTTTTTGTCAAATAAAAAATATATATATTTAATAAAATAAATAATACATAATAATAATAAATGTATGAAAATAGTAAATTTTTGTAATTAAAAAATAATAATTGTTTATTATGTTCGAGTCCCATCTCAGACGCCTTTCCCAATCCCATCCCCCCTCTCTCCCACTTCGCTTTCTGTCTGTCTATGCTATCCTTTCTCAATAAATGCCAAAATAATTATTTGAAATTTGCAATAATTAGCCTTGATGTATCAGTTGAATTAATAACTGATTATCAAGGTGCATGTAAATGTAGCTAATATTGCATAATTAAAAACTGGGCTTGGCAATCAAATACTTGCAGTGGAGCCCTGCTGTGCAATATTTTTTGACGTTGACGGAGAAGTGTACATGTAGCTATAGACTTCTCTGCATTCAGAGTAGCAACCACAGATGTGTTTTAGCAGAAACACACTTTCATGCTCTCTAGAAGCTGAAACAGGAAGCCTACAACTGGGTTCAAGGGGCCCATGGAGTGATTCTTACCACAGAGGTTACTACTAAACTGCGGTAGCTATGGCAGAATTATGTTGTGATGATACTATTTCCCTTAAAGTCCCCCTGTAGTCAAAAATTGTATCCTTTAAAACTCATCTTTGATCATCAAATGACATATTTAAATGTTTTTTTCTTGTGAAAATAATTTTCTCATGCCTTAAAATAGCTTGAATGCTACTCTACACCCTTGCCTCATTTACTATACGCGGATCTATGAATACGCAAATTAGCCCCGCCTCCACTCAGTCACACTCCAGCCAGCCATGAGTCAGCGCCTCCTGAGTCCTGATCCACTAACTAAACTGTAGTAAACGCGATTGGTTTAATTAAGCCATATGTGTTTGAACCAGAAATAAGCTGGTATGCTCAATGTAAGCCAGGAGACTGATGGCTAACTTCGTGAGGTGAAGAGCTTAAAAAAAGTCCGCACACTCAAACGTCAAAGTGTCACAAGTGAGATGAGAACAATATAAGCAATTTACTGAATGAAACAAGGCAAACGTTTCGGTCACATGTTGACCATTTTCAATGCCAAGCTAAGCAGCTCTGGCTGCTTCTCTGTAACTTCGTGAGGTAACATTATCTGTTTGCACTGGTTCGTACACGGATAATGACTGATAAAACTGTTTTTACTAGCGGACAACTACAGTGGATACTGTAACATTCATTAAATTTACTTACTTGACGATGTTGTGTGCTCAAAATGCCTTGAAGACTCAAATGCAGCTAAGTTTGTGATTCCAAATCGCGCCCGCGATCATACGCGTGTGACGTGCGGATGTCAATGCGGGAGAGGTGCGTCTGACTCCGGCTACTTTTACACTGCCGCCGCGGGTTATTATTCAAGTTAGCGGTTCTAAATACAAATAAATAAGCGCTAACAGCACATGACATCGTGAAAATAGGGGGAAATATTAACAGTTGGCGAAACATCTACAGAAAAAATATAACTGTTACCGGATTAACCTGGCTGCCTTCTCACTAGACCCTTTGCAGCGCAGTTAATGATATGCTAAGGATAGGATCCCTTGACGCGATTGGTTATTGAGTTTTGTGATGTAGCAAAAAAAAGGCTGTTTCAAATCGCGTTTCTGTGACTGCTTTTGGGAAACTGCAGTTTAAGGAGAAAATACTCAGCAATGGTGTTGATAAATGGATTGGCACGTGGTTTGTCTAAAAGCAAACTAAAAACACCACATAGACAAATAAACAACATAAAAAAACTTGATTTTCACCACAGGGGGACTTTAAGTCGCACAATCAAAAGTATGACACATACCGTGTTTGCAAGGAAGCATTATATTGATATTTCTCAAACCTTCTGGTTAGAGTTTGTTTCAGACCCCTAACCCTAAATATTACACTTCTGCAATTAATTCAGTTCTAAACCGCTTAATATACAGATTCCATTTAAACATTTGTTTGTTTTGTAAATCTTTTTTTTTTTAATGTAAGATTAAAGTTTGAAAATCCTCTTTGGGTTATATTGTTGAAATGCCCACCATTCAGAATGCACCTGATGATGATGATGATGTCATAATATTTGAATACTAAATTCTGATTCTCATTTTTGCATTTATTTGCATATTGAATCATGATGGATCTGTTCTTCATTGCATATATATTTAACAGTAAGAAACACAAATCTTAATATAGTTTGAAAAAAAAATCTGAATTAGAAAATGTTTCTATTCAGATTTATACATCTAAAATTTGTATAATAGTGGGTAACTCATTTGGCTTCAATACAGTGACAGTTTAAAAGCCAGTTATTTAATTTTAGAAACAGCATGTCTATGTAATATCACATTCAATTTTTTCTTGCACAGTATAAATGAGTCTTTTTACATACAAATATATGTACCTTTATATTTTATGAAGGGAGGTCTGTTGCAAAGGGATCGTCCTATTTGGGGGTCCTTTGCATTAAAAAAATGTTGAACTTTTGAAAACCCCTGTGTTATAGTGCTTGACACACACACAACTCACTGTGCTGTTTGCATCACAGATATGGCGAGAAAGGCAACGCAGTCCGTGTGGAGGTTGTTGTGTATACAGGCAAAGAAGGGCGGAGCTCACAAGGTTGCCCAATCGCCAAGTGGGTGAGTGACCTGATGAAATAACTAGCAGTCTGCGAAGAGCTTGCAGAATGTCTGTTCCTTCATATACTGTGTGCACATGTGTTAAATTCTGCAGATCATACGTCGAAGAAGTGAGGAAGAGAAGTTGCTGTGTCTTGTGCGGCAGCGTGCTGGTCACTGTTGTCAGAACGCAGTGGTAGTCATTCTCATCCTGGCCTGGGAGGGGATCCCACGCAGTGTGGCTGACAGGCTGTACCAGGAGCTCACACAGACTCTCTGCAAATATGGCTCGCCCACTAGCCGCCGCTGTGCCCTCAATGAGGAGTGAGTCACAAGTGACATACGGACAGAGTGTGTGGGAATGATTCACGTACACACTCACTCACACAAATACAAAAGAACATTTGGAGGTTGTTCTTGATGAAGTGTTTGTGAAGCATGAGTACTTTTCTTTAAAGGGGTCATATGATGCTGCTAAAAAGAACATTGTCTTTGCAACTTTACAGATCTTCTTTATGCACCAAGAGCTTGTAACACTCCAAAGAGAAAGGAAAAATTGAAATCGCATCATATGACCCCTTTAAACTTCTTCACACCATCTTTTTGTAAGTGCACATTCACTGCTGAAAAGACCAGGCTAGATTAGTAAAAAGCAGGGTCGGAAATGATCTTGGGGTAAAAATGTCACCAAAATGAACAAAAAAGATTCAACACAAAAACTGAACTAAAATGATTAAACTAAACCGCATGATTTAACTAAAACAATTGCGATTAAAGTGAAATGTGAACATGAGTATTGACTGCGGCATGACATTTAGATCTGCTAACAATGTGTCAAAGATTTCTTTTTGCATGTTGTTTTTTGCAGTGTTGAGCATTATAAATAATAACCCACATGTCTATTGAGCTCATGAATGTGATGGCCAATCAGAGACGTTTAGATTAGTCACCAGTGAAAGTTCTGCAGTTCCACGAATTTCTCTCATCATAAACTAAGTGAAATCTTGATTCATTAAGTAACAAAACGCAGCTGTGTGTTGCTCGGAGATGCACAAAAGTTCTGCTGTGGCTTAGTTTGAACTATCTTCATTGGCCAAATTGAGATAGACAAAATAGACAATATTGTATAATTTATACAATACTAACTACTGTATAAAATCAGTTTCCCATTTTCAGTCGTAAAGAAAATTTTGGTATTTGGCAAGAAAAAAAAACTTGCTAATGTGATATTGCTAAACTATATCATATAATATAAATATAAGACAAAAACTCATTCGGGCATTTTTTGTCCTCATATCCTTGAATTTTAGGGGCATATAACTGTATAGGCTTGATCACACTTATAGGCTAGATCACACAATGAGTGATTGCCCTGCATCATGTTCGTCATGCGATGCAATGCTAGATGCAATACAGGTGTCAGCCCCTTTTGGGGTGCGTTAAATTCATTAATAATTTTAATGCATATATATTCCACATTTTAAAAGCACCACCAGCAAGTTTTATATTAAATTATATTATATTATATTGTATTGTATTGTATTGTATTATATTATATTATATTATTGCACTGTAACTTACCTTACCTTCTTCCTCTCTCCTGTTAGTCGCACTTGTGCATGTCAGGGTCTGGATCCAGAGACCTGCGGTGCCTCTTTCTCGTTTGGTTGCTCCTGGAGTATGTACTTCAATGGCTGCAAGTTTGCACGCAGCAAAACGCCCCGGAAGTTCAGACTGCAGGGAGACTATCCTGAGGAGGTGAGCACTAGATGGGCTCACAGGAGATAAATTCTCAGTCCACTAGAAATGTGTGAAGAAATGCTCTGTTATGAAAGAATTACATGCTGGTTTTCAAAATCCTGCCAACAAGCCATAGTGGCTTTAAATGAGATGCACAACTCTGATGAGAGTATCCTGTGTGAGCTTACCTGAATTACCTTGTTTACCTGAGCTAGTTTAACCTGTTGCTCTCTAGTGGCACTAAGTAAAACAGTTAACAGAAAAAAGGGTTGCATGACTGATGTTTTTTTATTGCAAAAACTCCCCATGCAAAGTTTGACCAGGTTCAAAATATGAGTTGAAATAGCACTGTGCCATTGAGTATTGAGTCATTATCATTCATTACAATGCAAACACACCTTCTTTTTAAGTAAAGGGGTCATGATTTCAATTTTCAATTTTTCCTTTCTCTTTGGAGTGTTACAAGCTCTTGGTGCATAAAGAAGATCTGTAAAGTTGCAAAGACTAA